TCTTGTTACTATGTAGATTCTGATTCCGCATATACGAGGTGGTTGTTTGTTGTAGGTCATTGAGTCACACAATGCAAGCTAGAATGCAATGCAGAAACGCAAATTCTTCAGAAGGGGTGGAGTTGGAATGAACTGGTTCAAATAATGTTGTCCTGGTAACAACACAGTAATGTCTGTAGATCAGGGCCTTTAAAAGCTGATCACTTTCCTTGACCAAGCTTTTGTGACAAGCCCAGATAGGTAACTATCACAGCACTCACAGTATTTGCATCTCATTCAATTTCTACCTCATAGAAATAGAACCTCATTCAATGTTATGGATCTAGCAAATAGTAAAGAAGCAGCTATTCTTAATTTAAAAAGAAACAGCTTGTAAATCTAATCTTTTTAACTTAAAATGTATTAAGGCACATTATCTTTTCAATGCAGCTTGGATTTTTTTAAAACAAAACAAACAAAAATACCGACCATTAGTTTTTCTAATAAGTACTTTGGGTTTATCAGAAATATACCTAAAATGTTCATTGACAACACATACAGAAACTCAAAACCATGAGAACAACACAGATCTTTCACAAAAATATTTACTATAGAATTAATTTGAATAATTCCTTATAGCAACATCTTCTTTTAAAAACTTAAGAGACAGGATTTTATAAAATTTCCTTTTATTAACTATTTTGCTTTAATTACCAAAAATAAGGTTGGAAAAAAAAAAAAAAGAAGGCTTACCGAACTGCATCTGTATCAAACTGTAGATTAGGTTTGTCAATCAATCCTAAGGAATATAGCTGATAAGCTAAAGCACATTTCCCGACCATGAACTGTGCTGTGTTGGTACGATCCAAGCAGTCCACACAGTTAGTTCGAAGAACACCAGTCTAAAGATAAATGTCATCAAGATTTTCAGTCATCATACTCACTATTCACAACTATTTTTATGCTGTTTTCAATTTTATTTAAGAAGCAGAACAAAGATCATGAGCAGGGGGGTTTTCCTGAATAAACATTAATTATTTCATCTTATGTGAAGTTAAAGTTGAAAATAATTAAGACGTTTTCTTAGACTAGAAAAAGGTCATATTCGCTGTGAATTTAACATTGCTGCAATAGCATTATTAAACCTTCTGGCCTATCTTTGAAATGTCTTTAGTTTAACAAGACTAAGTAAGTAGCTAACATTTTCTAAACACACCAATTAATCAAATAGGTGCTTTTCCCCCTCCCTGGTACATCAACCTCATTTTCTATACAAACTCAGTACTTGGTGACTGCAGTCTGATGATTCTTAAAGCATAATTAACATACATGGTCAATATACTGAGCTTGTTCTCTAAAGTCACTTTAATTCATTTTTCACACATTTCTCTCTGGGTCTCTATTTCCAATATGACTTAATACATAGAAAAATTCTACATACCAATTTATTTCAGCAATTATCTTATTATACAAGTTAAACACTAGCAGTAAGATATTATATCTTTAAAAAAATCATTCCCAATTGATTAATTTTGCATTAAATAAGATGTATCTTTTCCTACAATTGCTTTCAGAAAAATATTATACCCTTTGGATACAAATTTTATTAATTAACAAAATGTATTCTATACCTGCAGGCGACCAGTGGGAATCACACATCCTCCTAGTTCATTCCACCTGTGTTTAAAAAGAGATAATTTAAAATGGAAAAAAAGGCATATTCTGTCTTATTTTGTTAAAAATTCAGTGATTAAAGTAATAGAGCTAGATTCTGCTCATTGCTTGTGTTTTCTTTTAGTCAATTCCCACTCACTCCATCTGTGCAGAATATAACTGCTCCTTACATAGATTGAAACTGGTTTGCTCGCATTTAACTCCCTGCTGAGAATTTGCATTTCCACCCTAGATATACTGAATCAAAACTTACAATTTAGCAAGACCTCAAAGTGATTCCTATAGACCCCAGATGATTCTAAAGTGTGTATAAAATCCAAAGATCTCATTAAAATGCAGATTCTGATCCAGTTTCTCTGGGGGTGGATATATAGATTCTATGCAAGAGTTAGAATCCAAATGAAGTGGTTCAAAGCTATAGGGTTTTCCCTTTCAAGAACAGATCTTAGGACTATCTTCTGAGTACCTTTGGGTGAATTCAAATCACAAACTTTTTCGTTAGTAAGCAAGTGTTTAACATTTGCACAATCCAGGGACTCCTTTACTTTTTTTTCAGGCAAGTGAACATCCAGATAATTAAGATGGAATGCAAAAATCCTCTCTTCCAAGGGAGCCCAGGAAAAGAGCAGCTTAGCTTGTCCAGTACCCCACACTCAGGCATTTGGTTATCTATGTTCAACAAAAATCTCTTTTGCTTTAATTTAATCCCATTTCTTGCTTGGTCTCTATAGCTAGGTATTATAATTGTAGACTACCTGTCTCATAAAATCTTCCAGCTTTTAGTCTTTTCCTCTCAACGCCTGGAACTATTGTTACAGCCCTTTGAATTTTTTTTTAAAACAGATTTTCTTAATTTTCTACATATGCTAATAAAAACATGGGACTGTGTTCTGTAAACTATTAGGCATTATATGCTATTTTAATTATTTAAAGTAAGATATCCTGAAATCAAAATTATAACAATCATGTTGTTGTTCTTGTTGTTATTGTGTACCATCGAGTCAGAATCGACCCATAACTGACCCATCCTTCTCCCCGCAAAGGAACTGGTGGATTCGAACCACGTGCCTTCAGGACTGCACACAGCTTCTTGCCACTAGGCCACCAGAGCTCAATTATAACAATAATATACTATGCAAATTATACCAAAAGAATTACTTTTCAAGACCTCATATATGCATTTATATACGTTCTTCACTATTACATTTCATTATGTTAACTAACTATAAGCTTTTGACAATCCATGGTATTTGTTTCTTATTTTTAAAAGTTCTATTTGTGCCATAAAAAAAGAAACAAAACAAGGACCCTTGACCTGATGATGCTCACAAAGTGATAATGAAGATTTGTGAATGAGTAACTAAAAGACAATGATAATATTACTTTCATAAAAGATAACTGATAACTGTTGTTGTTAGATGCTGTCAAGTATGACTCATAGAAGCCCTATGAACAACAGATCGAAACCCTATCCTATCCTGTGCCATCTTCATCTAACATACCTGAGTCCACTGCTGCAGACACTTGTCAATCCATCTGGTTGAGGATCTCCCTCTCTTTCACCAACTCTCCATTTTTCCAAGCATGATGTCCCTCTCTAAGAAATAGCATCTCCTAGCAACATGCCCAAAGTATGTGAGACAAAGTTTTATCATCTTTTCCTCTAAGGAGCACTCTGGCTATACCTTCTCCAAGACATATCTGTTTGTTATTTTGGCAGATCACAATATATTCAGTACTCTTCTCCAACATCACAGAGCTAAGATATCAATTCTTCTTGTCATCCTTATTCATTGTTCAGCTCTCAACAGCATAGCAAATGATTGAGAAGACCATGGCCTGAATGTGACACATCCTAGTCTTCAAACTGACACCGTGGCTTTTCAGTAATTTGAAGAGATCCTTAACTGCAGACTTTGCCAATAGCACTATCCTGACATTCTCATTGCTGGTACCAAGAGTACTGATTGTGGATCCAAGCAAGCTGACATTGTTGATTGTTTCAATCTTTTCTCCAACTATCATGATGTTGTCTATCAGTCTAGTGGTGAGAATATTTAGTAAGGGGGGGGGAACAACACTCCAGCTCCCATTTAATATTAGGGAACTATAGTGGCCTGGTGGGTAGAGAGTTGTGCTGCCAAACCAAAAGTGGGAAGTTTACTCTTCAGGAGAATAATGGCAATCTCCTTCCATGTGATTACAGCCTCTAAAAACCTAGGATTAGCTATGTGTTGGTTCCAACTTGATGACAAGGAACGAGGGACCAAGTCATTTAACCTTAGAAAACAGTTGATTATAGAAAAGGAAACTTTTATGCACACCCATGTTTATTGCAGCTTTGTTCACAATAGCAAGGAGTTGGAAACAACCTAAGTGCCCATCAACAAACGAATGGCTAGAGAAGCTGTGGTGTATTCGCACAATGGAATACTATGCTGCATTAAAAAACAAGGAACTTATGCAATATTATTCAAAATGGTTGACTCTGGAGAACATTATGCTGAGTGAAATATCCCAGTCACAAAAGGACAAATATTACATGATGCCACTGTTGTAAAATGGGACTGTCCTTGGGGTTGGGGAGAGAATGAGTAAGATGGGTTCAATAATGTATACTGCACTGAAACAGAGGAGGGAGAGAACCGTCTAAAAGAGAGATGTAACTGGGTATTTCTGTCATCACAGGAGACTAGAGCGAGGGCTGCATGGTGGAGGGGACCAGGGGGAGTGTTTGTAAAACAATGAAAGAATCTTTCCTTTTACTTTTCCATAATTTTTGGACTCATGTACTTATAACTTGTTAGTCAAATTTGTGTCTTCTAGGGTGCAACACCCCCATGATACATCTTGAAGGATATGTACATGTACAGCCAAGCACAATCAATAAGAGTGCATCTGAATTCCAAAATCAATCTCCATAATAGTCTATGTGTTTCCTACTGCCAAAGGGGCCCTTTAGAGTAGTGAGAGAAGATCTTCACCCTGAAACCCACAGCGTCCCTTTTCAGCAGGAAGTAGCTAAGAGAATACGCCGTCCCCTTTTCCTTATGACTCAGGGTGAAGTCTCTCTCAGGGAGGAGTGATAGGGAATGGCAAAGGATACACTGACAAAGAAGATTAATTAGAACTGGCTTTGACAAGCACTGTGGCATTTGGACAAGAACAAACTGGGAGGAGGGTAGAGAGAATAGTGCAACAATGAATGAGTGGAAGCCCAAAATCTCTGTAAATGTTTATGAAAATTAATAAAATATAATTATAGAAAAAAAAAAAAGAAAACTTTACAGAAATATTTTATGTAATGTTTTCTCTGTGAAAAATTGAAACAACCAAACTTCTACCTCACTGCTGTCAAATAAGAACTGACACATAGCTGATCCTCTAGTGAGCTTCCTAACAGGAGGACACTGACCATCTGTCTCCTGAGGAGCTGCGGATGGATTCGAACAGCCTCAGTGATGGGGCCTTGGGGTTAGCAGCAAAACAGGCCACCAGCACTGTCATTATAGAAAGTTTTACTTTACAGAAACATTTTCTATAATGTCCATCCTATGAAGTCAGAGAATGAGATCACACATTTTCCATCTCCAGGTTGATAATCATCAGAGGAACTCCTATGCTCAAGGTAAACATTTGCTACAAAATCACAGGAGCAATTCACTTCTCCAAAGAACTAAATTAATTTGTCTTAAGTGGTAAAAATTGCTCACAGTATTTTTCATCCTTAAAAGTAAAATATTCTATTTACATTATATTTTTAAATATTATACATACTTTTCATCTGGCCGCAAAATATTACAGTAAGAATCGGGACGGTTTACAAAGAAACCTGTTTTCTTCACCACACTTTCTGCAATCACATTCAGCCGGTCAAGAACATTACACAGTTTGCTGAAGACAGAAGAACAAGAAAAGTGAGAAAACACAAGTCTTTATACACATTTATTGATATATCTAGGCAAAAGGAAATCTACAGTGATGCTATTCAGAATTTAGTGGTTTAGTTTTAAAAACTTCCTACTGGTATATCTTGGAAACAACATAACTGTAATCTACAATATAATGTTTAAACAGTCACTAGTAATAGTTGAGGCAAAACAGGCATGGAGAATTTCTACCTTAATAAATATTGGGAACCTTGAATCATGGCTCATTACAGCCTTACATCCTGCAACAGCCTCTTACCCTTTAAGAGAGTTCAGTCAGTCAAGTCAGTATGTGTTCATAAGATGAACTGTAAAGGTACAGTGCACAGGAAGAAAAAAAAAAGTAAGAACAAATTAACAGGACTGACACCAACCCATAATTAAGCATATATTCTAGGTCAGTGTGTATGTCTAACTACATAGAAGGATGTAAGGAAAGAAAGTGCAGGGCTTTAAGTTTAAAACAATACAGTAATATTTTAGAATATGAGGCCTTAAAAATAAACCTAGTGCTTATATGATACATATATTAAATGAGTAAAAAAACAATGTAAGGTTAGTGACAAAAAGTTCCTTGGAAGAGATGAATTTTGATCCTGAAGTAGAAGAGATGTGAAAACTACCACAAGACGGGCAAGTGATGGGAGCAAAGGCTCAGGGTGAGGACCCTGAGCTACATTTTGAGCAAAGTATGAAGATAAGTTTTTCTGGGATAAAACAGCTTAGAATAAAGAACAAGTTCTGGAGTCAACAAGGTGATAAAATCTTAACGTTACACTAAGAAGCTTGAATTTGTTATTAATATTCAGGAGTTACTGCAGGCTTATCCATAAATGAGTGAAATAATCTGAAAGTGGTGTCTGAGAAAATGATTAAACAGTGAGACAGAAAGAATTAGAGAAAAGTGAGGGGTAATGCCTCTAAGGAACAGTGGAGAGGTTCTAGAATGACTTGATGCTTCAAATAGAATTCGCAAATGATGTAAGTGGTAGGCAAAGATAGTGTGTAGCTAATTCATTTCAGCACTCAAATTACACAGCAGCAAAGCAGGCCCCAAAGCAGGTTCATGAAGGAAATTAGAAGAGTAACATTAACTTTACCCCAAAAATAAGCTTCCTGTTACTTTTCATTACAAGAAAGGAAAAATATCATAACCAGACACCTCCTCACCTCTTGGTGTACTTGGCCATATCCCATGGAATATAGACAATAGTGTGCTCAGGAGGCAAAAACTGATTGAGGTAAGTCACCGCAGCTACAAGCTCTTCACTCAGAATTCTTTCATGCTTCCTTTTCTCTCGTTCCTTTGCAAAAAAGAAAAAATTAAACATTTTGAGTATTCTAACTTTTAAATTAGAATTTAATTTAGGGAGTCCTGGAAGTCTAATCTTTAGGGAGTTTCACTGTTAAAGGCTGCAACTCTCTGCATATTCTAATCCACCAGGAGAAAGATGGGAAATGTCCTCCCACACAATTTACAGCCTTTGAGATCCCACTATGCATCAGCTATGAGTCAGTTCTGACCTGATGCCAACACATGAGTTTTCTACGTAATTATATTAAATAAAAAAAACAGACTTTTAAAAGTATTTGTCAACTCTGGTAAGGCAAAAGTGCCAAGTCTTATTCACACTGGAATAAAACATATATTTTAAAAGAAAAAATAACATAAATGCAGAGAAATAAATACTGCATTTAATTGCAGCAAACAATGAGCTTTCAGGATTCAAGAAAATTGGATTTTTCAAGGTAATCACTAGGTAGAAACAAGAAGTCCAGCTTTTCCCATACACACCTGCCCCACACATTCCACACACTCCTTGGAAGAGAAGACCCCTTGCAGGACTAGAAGGAAAACCCTCCTCTAGCCAGATGAAGGCCAGATATGGGCCAAACAGGTCTAGATGGGTAACCTCCAGACTGCTAAAGCAAAGAGCATTTTCATAGTTTCTTATATTTGAGTTCCTTAAAAACCCTTTCAGGTAATTAATGCAGATACTTTTTTTTGTCTTTTACACATAGTTAGAGGACCTGACGCTTAGAGGTGTTTGTGGAATGACATTTTACCTTCTGTCTCCTTGCCTGCTGGCCCTCCTTAGACATTACACTCCCTCTCATTCAAGACAAGCTGGTTTAGTGCAAATGGAGGAACTGGAAAAGTGTCTCTGCCATGTGGTCTTCGACAAGGATCATCCCTGTTATTAGCTGTTATTAGCTAGTCAGTCCCTAATTCTCGGTGACCTCACACACAACGAGATGCAACCCACAGTTTAACCTGGCTAACTTTTGTAAGCAAGTCAGCAGGCCTTTCTTTCTAGTCTGTTAGCTCTACCTCAGAACAATATTCTGCATCACAACATGCAAGCGCTCACTGATCGGCTGGTGCAAGCTGTGCATGATACATTGGCCAGGAAACAAACCAGGATGTTCCAGACCATAAAGAAGGGGAGACTTTTACCACGGAACTACTGTTTTAATCTATAAACAGGGTAGCAATAGTATCTCATTGACAGCTATAAGGGAACTCTGGTGGTATCATCCCTAAGGAGGTGTGCGGCAAACCCATAGGCAGTTTGAAGCCACCAGGGTTCTAGGGGAGAAAGATGGGCACTCTCCTCTTGAGTGATCTACAGCCTTCAAAATCCCACTAGGAGCAGATCAGCTATGAGTCAGTTCTCACTCAATGTCAGTGTGTGTGTGTGTGTGTGTGTGTGTGTGTGTGTGTGTATGAGATAAAACATAATAAAGTCTTATCAGAGCATTAGTACACGCAACTGTTCAATGAAAATTAGTTATTTTGTAAGAAGAAAGAGAGCTAAGAAGCAGAGCTAGTGAGAGTTCCTCTTATGTGCTTTGCACATGTTATCAGGAAGACCCAGTCCCTAGAGGATATTATGCTTGGCTGAAGAGAAAGTGAGTAAAAAAGAGAAAGATCTTTTGTAAACTGGATTGACACAGTGGCTGGAGCAATGGGCTCAACAACTGTGAAGATGATTCTGTTATATATATATGGCTTTTTGGGGTCAGAATCAACAATTTTATTGTTCTGATTAAGCCTTTACTTAGAAATAATGAAAAATACTTCAGCAATGGCATTATTGTTGCCATCAAAATAAATCTCTGCTGTTTTCAATTATGGTGACTACTTTTCAATTGCCAGAATTTAATTAGATAACTATTGTAGAAATAAAAAGGGTATCTGTTTTACACAGCTGAATAAATCAAATGGATTTAGACTGGCTCAACAAGTACACTTAAATAGTTTGTTGTTGTTGTTGTTATTGATTGCCTTCTAGTCGAGCACGACTCATAGCAACCCTATAAACAAAAGGCTTGAAACCCCTCTACAACTATCGACATTTATCAAAGTTCAGTTCCAGAGGCATGTTATTTAGGATGTGGATGTCACTCTTGCTTCCAAAAAATAGTTTAGGATGCAATTATAGTTAGCTTATCTTTATGTCTGAGAAAATGAAATTATAGAGCTAGAATTTTTCTTGAAAGTGCTGTAAAGTTGTTGTTCTTCTATGTGCCTTCAATTTGGGAACAACTTATTGCTGATTCAGAGGCTTTAAATCACACAGGAGGAGACTGTCCCTTTCCACCTCAGAGCAGATGTTGGATCTGAAAAGCCTGCCTTTTCAAATCCTTGCTGACTAATTTTTACTAAACATTACAACTGTTCAATAAAATTTAGTTCTTCTTATAGGAAGAAGTAGAGCTAGGATCCTCCTCAGAAGCAACAATGGTGAGATTGCATCCAAGGGAGGTGTTGGCTGGGCTAGGAGGGGGTAGAAGGGAATGCTGGCAGAGCAGGGCAGGGTACAGGACCAAGAAATATGTGCCAAAGTGGGGGAGAACCACCATAAAAACTATTGGTTATTTTTAATAATGGGGAAGTGTCTTTCAGCTGCTCTTTTGGGTAAAATACTTGTCAGATATTGTTTTAAAGCTGAACATCTAAATTAAGACAGACTAGAAGGATTGGCCCATCCACTTCTGAAATAACAGGTCTTCTATACAATAGAATACAGTTAGAGTAGACCAGCAGATATGGCACCAAAGGCTGAGCACCTAGTATCAGGAAACCTAAGGGAGAAGGAACAGTTTTAAGTAGACACCAGTGATTGGAACGTGGAATGTGAGAAGTATGAATGTAGGAAAATAGGATATTGTTAAGGAAGAAACGGAACACATAAATATTAGCATACTAGGTACTGGCAAGCCAAGATGGACTGGCATGGGACCTTTAAAATCAGGCAATCATATGATCCATTATGCCGGAGTTGAAAAGGTGAAGAAAAATGGGGCCATATATATAGTTAAAATGGCTGTGTCTGGATCCATATTAAAACTATCATTCAAACATGTACAAACAATGAGCCAAAGAAGAGGAAATAGATGATTTCCACCAACTTTTACAGTCAACCGAACATGAAACCAAGATGCATTAATAATAATGGGTGACTGGAATTCAAAAGTTGAGAAGGAAGGATCTGTAGTCAGGAAACATGGTCTTGGTGACAGGAATGAGGCTGGAGACAGAATGATAGAATTCTGTACAATCAATGATTTATTTATTGCAAATACCTTTTATAAGAATCATAAATGGTGATTATACACATGGACTTCACCTGATGGTCTACACAGGAATCACATTGTTTATATGTGTGAAAAGACTCACTGGAGAAGCTCACTATCAGCTGTGAAAACTAGGCCAGATGCTGACTGTGGAACAGACCATCAACTACTCATGAAAGTTCAAGCTGAAGGCAAACAAACCTAAAGCAAACCCATAAGAACCAAAAATTGACCTTAAGTCTGTCCCACTTGAATTTAAAAGTAAATTTGACAGGTTTGAGGCCTTGAACACTAATGAGCGAAGACCAGATGAGTTGTGGAAGGATTTAAGAATATATTCCATGAAGAATGCAAAAGGTCATTACAAAGACAGAGGAGGAAGAAAAGACCTAAAATGGATGCCAGAAGAGACTCTGAAGATTCACACCACTGGGCCAATTGGCAACACCATGATAGACTGAGAAGAGAATGTGATGGTTAACAATTTCAGCTTGCCTGGTTCAACAGTCAACACTCTCAGCACCAGCAGTCAGGAAATCAAATGACAAATTCCATTAGGAAAATCTGAAGTCAGGGACCTCTCCAGAGTACTGAAGAGCAGTGATGTCAGTCTAGAGACTAAGGTATACCTGATCCAGGCCATGGTCTTCACAATTACTCAGTATGCATCAGAGATATAGACAATGAACAAAGATGACAGAAATAGAATCGATGCCTTTGAGTTGCGGGTGCTGGAGAAGAGTACTGAATATACCGTGGGCTGCCAAGAGAATAAACAGGTCTGTCTTAGAGAGGATGAAACGAAGCTTCTCCTTGGAGGCAAGGATTTTGAAGCTCCATCTCACATACTTTGGGCATATGGCCAAGAGGGACCAGTTCTGGAAGAAGGAGATCATGCTTGGAAGGGTGGAGGGACAGCACAGGAGAGGAAGACCTCAGATGAGGTGGATTGGCAAAGGAATTGGGGTAATGGGAGGTAAATGTGTTGGATACAGTGAGACTGGCTTAGGTTAGAGAAGGGTTCAGAGCTATTGTTCAAAGGGTCCTTATGAGTTGCCGACCAAGGAAACATATCAACAATAACAGTTCCGTCGAGTTTTGGGTAGTGTTAACAAGCTTGGCTGCTAACCAAAAGTTGAGAGGTTTGAAGGCACTCAGAGGCACCTCAAAGGTAAAGTCTGGTGATTACTTCTGAAAGACTAGAGCCTTCACAACATGGAGGGACATGTCTACCCTGAAAACCAGAGTTGATGTGACTTAGCACTAATTCAGTAGCAACTAGGTTTTAAAATCTGATATTTTAGGATTAACTTTAGTCAACTGGCAATCTGCTAGTTTGTTTTGTTGAGAGCTATGTCTTTGAAAACATATATCTGATCATTATCCTTTCAATTGCATAAAACTCTTTAATGAATTTCACGTATTCCCAGAAAAAGGTCAAATGTATTAACACAGCTTGGCCGTCACTGTCCCTTCACCTCACATCACGTTCTTTTGCCTCACCCTCTAGGCCTCAGGAACACAGTCCTTCCTTTCCCAAAATGCACTAAACTCTCTCTCATTTCAAGGGTTTTGTGCACACCTTTTTCTAATTGAACACTAGTCACTTTCCTCCTCAGCTACTTAGCACCTCTCCTTTCAGCCTTCAGCTGACTCATCACTTCCTCAGGGAAGACCTCTCTCTCTCCCATTGGAAGCCTCATGTCTCTGCATTTATTTCACCATCTCTTCCATTAGAGTCTTAACTCCATAAAGGCAAGAATCATTTTGTTACTCTTTGGCACACAGGAGGAACCCTTACAAATACTTGTTAAATGACTCACTGGACACAGGAGTCCCTAGTCTTTAGTTACATTGACTGATATTTATTAATCAACTTCCTAGAACAACTTTAAGAGGCACAGAGTCATTCCTCACCACCAACATCATAGCATAACCTTCACTTTCTATACTTTCAGGATCTTTTAGTTGCTTACTTACATTCTTTTCTAAAAAAAAATTATTTTTAATAAAATCTTTTTATTTTAATTGTCATTTTAACAAAAGTTTACAGAAAAGTTTGATTTTCATTCATTCATTGTTGCACATTTTACCCCCTCTTCCTCACTTTCCCGTCCCGTTCTTAAGAGACAAACTGGGATAAAGCTTAGAAAAAACATTTTTTTAGTTTTTTAATTATCTGTAGCTTTTTTATTCCCTGCAATTCTTTTTTTTTTAATTTTACACTAGTTTTTCTACAAAGTTTGTATACATTGCCCCTCACACCAGATCCTCCTATCTCCCCAACCCATCCCCCTTCCACCCGTCAAACCATGCAACGCCATGATTACCCTTCCACCTACCCCACCTCTCTGCTTCCCCACTTAGATTCTCATACATGTTTTACTAGTTACCTTTTCTACAATAAGACTTATATTCTTTTAATTCATCTAGGGGCTACAGATGCAGATGAAATTACCAGTCTAGTTTCCCTGCCCTCTGTCCTAGTCCGTTAACCCGTGTGTCTCCTCATTGTTACAAGTACATAGACCAGGCAGTGTGCCATGGCCAGAAAGCAGAGAGCTACAAGGCCAACACAACCACCTGCTTTTCAGACACCCACCTCATTCTGGAGTCAAAACAGTTTCTCATATTCTGAATCTAGCCTACAGATCCTATTATTATGTACAGATTTGCTCAGAAAGAGATCTTATGCTTTGTCAAGACAGTAGACTATGGCAAAGCTAGAATGTGACAGCCAAGTCTCATTGTTTCTTTTTGGAAGTTGTCCTAGAGACTATGACAAGAATTTCCCCCTTCCCTAGTTCACACACAGAAATAAGGACATACCGCATTACTCTCGTTCCCTGAAAATAATCCACTGATCTTCCAGGGCAACTAGAGAAGAGGTAACATATGAGATCTGAGGACAATGGACAGCAGTTCACACAGCTCACACACAGTGAGCCACCACAGCTGAAAAAGTTCTAAGTCTCTCCCCGAGAGAGGCAGAGCACAGCTTGTTCATTCCTTTTGTTTTTGTTAGGGGCTGTCAACTCCATTTTTTCACTCATGTGACCCAGCGTAACAGAGTAGAAATGTCCCATAGGGCATTATTGGCTGCAGTCTTTACTGGAGCAGAGTGCCAGGTCTTTGATCCATGGAGCTGCCAGGTGGGTCTGAACTGCCCACTTTTTGGTCAGTGTTGAGGAAAGTATTGCCCCGTGTGTTTGAATTCTGTATCAAAAGTATATCGTACCTTCACTAGATTCAAGATGATGATGGGGGAGCCAAACCTCTGAAGCATCTGGTCAAAGTGAAGGGCAGCCACGTGTGCAAAGGGATCTGCTTGGTCCACTGAGGAGGAACGAGAAGGATAAGCACCAGAAGGAATATTAGAAAGCAGGTACAAGAGTAGTTCTGGGGGGTTTGTTGGCACATTTCTTATAAGTTTAAAGAAATATAATTCAACTAACTTTCAGTTTCACTCCCTAAATACCTCTCAGAGGCTCCCCTGACCCTCATTTGTATTTACTGAATCTGAATGGCTTTGTATTTCTGAAGTTAAATTCAAATAATAACAATTAAAATTGAAGAAAAAAAACATTGCCTAAGAAAAGTTACTCCAATATTAAAATGCAGTAAAATCTAAACACTTAAAAGATATTTGTGTGACAACAGTTCATTATCTTTAAACATAGGTAAACAAGCACCACTATTTAAAAAACTGTTCCACATACACGTAATAGGAGGTTTAGGCATCATGGTTGAAATGTCCTGAGACCAATACAAGGGCACAGATCCTCTAACTTGCACATAAGAAGAGTAACTTCCAGCAGTAAAAGACATCACAGAAGCATCGCAGAGTATTTGCTCAGTCTCCACTTCATTTGCAACATCACCCTGAAACAAAATACAAAGTAATTTCATTGAAAATTCAATAGCATTCTCAATGGGGGGAAAAAAAAGTAGGCAACGAAGTGATAATTTTTACTCTTGTAATGACTTAAAAGAGGAAAATGATTAAGTGTCATCAAGTCAGAACTGACTCTTAGATGACCCTCCAAAAGGTTTAACCCCCTAGCAGATTTTCAGAGGCTGGAAACTGCATGAGAAGATTTTTCATGCCATCTTTCTCCACAGAGAAAATGGTTGATTTAAACTGCCTGACTTTGGGTTGGCAGCAAAACTCCCTATCCCCTAGGCCATCCGAGCTCTATTTTGTTGGTAGGTGTCATTAAGTCACACCTGACTCATAGCTGACCCTCCAGCAGGTTTTCAGAGACAGTAAAGTGTACAGGAGGAAACTGGCCATCTTTCTTCCTCAGAAGGTGGATTTGAACCACATGCCATTGGTTTGGCAGCCCAGCTCCTTATCTATTAGGCCATTAGAGCTCCCTGTTCTTGGAATGTCTTAAAAGAGGTAAATGTTGATCAATATTCATTGTGCACATATGTAAAGCAAAATCATTAAAATGCAAAATTGGAGGATAATTAAAATAACAGAAGATAGACAAGCTAATAACATAAAGTGTCGCTACTTGTACCAATAATCAAAGCAAAGAGAGCATAAAGGAGGTTAACTTAAAAATGAAACGAGAGGGTTGGGGAGAGAATAGTAAAAGAATGGATAGATGGTGAACACTGCATTAGATCAGATGAAGGAAAGAACTGTCCAAAAGGAATCTTTGATTAGATATTATATGTATGACAACAATCTGGAACAAGGGGTGCATTGCAGGGAGGGCTAGGGAAGGTTTGAGAGGAGAGGGGGAAAATGTGCAACAATGAAAAGAAAACATTTTCTATGTTAAGAAAATTTACAAAGTTAAACGGGAACAAACAGGATGTGAGATAGAATCATTTCAGAGCTGTTAATAACATGTGTTAATCTTCTGAATATTGAAAAGGAATAATAAAGCTTTATAATTTTTATAATAAAACTAATAATAAAATTATTGAAGTACCAGTTGTACCTGTTTTCAATGTTGGTATAATGTTAAGAATAATTTTGCTATATTAAGCCAGAATTAATCCTATTCAACCACACATCTGCCTTAAAGTTCAAGTTATTGATGGAGTTTGGGATACTCGAAGGACTAAGTGACTGATGGTGGAATAGATGAAGTTTTGTTGCCTTTTCATAGAGAGACAGCTAGAGCTGGATAAGGTGTCTATCTTAAGACAAGCTAAAGAGGAGAGAGCACAAGGCTTAAAAATGTCTTGTTCCACTTAGTCCTCTTATCAGAGACATGCTGCCAAGGAGTGCTGCCCTCCATTATTGTTTGGTGGAGGTGGCTTGCTATTTTTATCTCCACATTAAAAATATACTATATTTTTCTTCCATTACAGAAACAGCTCATCCTCCAAAATATTAGACAGTTCATAACTTCCAACAGCATTGTATAACTTTCTAAGATAGCTGTTTTTCAGAACATCTGTGTCATATCTATCACAACTTTAAGATAGTCTGGAGAATTATTCTCTTGATAACATCCAAAATGAAGAAATTCTATGCTCCAAAATTTCACTTTGCTCCATCTATGTTTGTAGAACTGATGGTGAGGGAGAAACTGCCCACAGTGATTCTGGTTCCATCTTACCTCACAGTTTGCACCTCTCTTTAGAAAACGGGTCCCGGCAAACTTACTGGATCTTCTTGCTATTAGGGTGACATACACTGGTCGTCCATAGATTAACAGCTCTTAGAAATCAAGTTAAAGTGGTTTAGCATTTGTGACTGTCACAGCCGACCACTACACCTTAAGTACATATTTAAATACATTATCCCCACAGGTTAAAGACCAATTAAAAGCTTCATTCAAGAATGGAACAGCACAGCTGTTCTTCAAAATTGTGCAGAAAGAAAGCAAAAACTGACCCTGTCTAAGGATCAGAAGAAACTGTAATTAGCTACTGTACAACTAGCCTAGGGAAAACCTAGTGCTTCCTTATGTCCAAATAAAGGATGTGAACAAGTTCCATTAGCATTTTTCTAGTTTTCAAGTACCATACATCTTTCAAAGAGAGAATATATACTATGTCATTTAGCAGAATGTTGACATTAGGAAGCAATATACCATTTGAAGGACTAAAATGAGCATAACAGAAACAGAGGTTCAAGCTATAAAACCTGATTATTGAGTAAGTAATTTTAAACTCCTTGACCAACATCCAGCTTGTTATTCATGCCACAATAGTCAACTTTCTGAGCCTTAGAGTCATATTTGAGAAAAGGGAGTATGCAACCATAAAGTAACATATTATTAAGCTCTGACTGTCATTGATGAGTAAGGGGTTGTGCTGTCAACCCAAAGGCAAGGGTTGTAACCCAGCAGCTGCTCCAGGGCAGGAGGATGGGCAGTCTCCTTCTACGCAATTTACAAACTCGGAAAACCCACCAGAAGGTCAGCTATGGGATGATTCCAACTCAACAGCAATAAGTTAGTTGTTTTTTGTTTTGTTTTGTTTTGTTTTGTTTTGTTTTGAAAGAGGTTGTGGGAAGATCTAAATGAAATAATGTATCTAAGACTCCTAGTAAATGTTTACTAAAAAGCAATTATTTTTCTCTTCATTTAGACTTCCAGAATTCATTAAGTGCTTGATAAAAAGAAGACTAGGTTCATTATTTAAACTAATGAGCTTTAAAATTATCATCTGTAAAGCTGTTCACAATTTATTTTTAAAAACCAAACAAACAGTTACTGTGCTTAAGATATGCCAGACCTTGAGCTAGCTCTGGAAAAAGGAAATAGCTTAGAGCTGTCTTTTGGGAACTGCCTTTATATATGGATGCACATTGTTTTTGTGTCCTTGATGGTGAAACCCTGCATCCCTCTCAGGTAGATTTCACTTTTGGAAAGCAGACAAAAGTAATTTAGGCCCAAATCTCATTATCATTCAGTGAATGATCAAGCAGGTAATCCCACTCACTAGCTGAAAATGATTCTAAAGTAATAAGCTTGATTTTCAAGTACAACACATAATCTTGCTCATCTTTTTCAAAATTTCTGTCTTCATCTAGCCCCTCTTCTTCATACAAAGAGGCACCACTGCCCCTTTCAAAACAAGCTAACCTCTCCAGCTGTGCTCCTTGATTCCACTTCTTCCAAATGTTCTGGCACAAGACAGTGTAATGGGAAAAAACATTATCATGGAAGTGTAATAAAGTGAAACATTCACCCACTAAATAGGCTTAAGGAAACCCTTTAACGTTTTCACTACACATCTTTAAAAAGCCTAGTATATAAGGAAGACTGTCAACTAGGAAACATAATAGGTATACAAACACCCTACATGACCTTAAAAAGTGACAAGAAAAACCTAATGTCCATTTGTAGAATGTACGGACCGCCTTCCTCAACCCTGTTTGTGTGCTGTGGTGTCTGAACTGACCCACAGGTCACCCTCTGGCAGGTGTTCAGAGGCAGTCAATCACATGGGAGGAGACTGCTTGGCCTTCCCTGGGGAGCAGCTGGTGGATTTGAACCACCACCAGCTCTCCAAACCTGATGACATAACAATAATTCATTCTTGGAAGGCATTCAATATATTCAGACGTTTAATGGGGAGCCCTGGTGTTTGAGTGGTTTGGAGTTACGCTGCCAACTCAGAGGCACATGTTACATAATTCACCAGTTACTCTGTGGGAGAAAGATGATCAATATCCTCCTGGGAAACTTACTGTTGCTGAAAACCCACTGGAGGCTCAGCTATGAGTTGGTTCTGACTCAAAAGTACATAATAACAGAAATGAAGTGCGAGGTAAGCCTGTAAAGAATATAAATCAAATCTGATTCAGCACCTTACTCAATGCTTGACACTGTTTTTGTGTGTCTCTGAGTCAATTCTGACTCCCAGTGATCCCGTGTGACAAGATAGAACTGTTGTGTTATCTTGATTGTGACCTGTACACACAGCCCTATCTTTCCCATGAGGGGGGAGGCAAGGTGGATTAGAATCACCTTTTTTGAATCAAATCCCTATGCACATCCAAACACTTCTCCACCAGGGTAAAAAGGGAAGCCACAGACTGGAAAAAAGTATTTAGTAATGACTTATCAGATAAGGGACTTATATCCAGAATTTATAAATACTTGAGCACCTCAACAAGATAAAGGTAAATAATCCAATAGAAAAATGGGCACAGGATATGAACACACACTTCACCGAAAAAAGGCATTCAGATGGCTAGCAAGCACATGAAGAAATGTTCAAAATCCCTAGCTTTAAGAGAGATGCAAATTAAAACAACTATGAGATATCATCTCACCACAGTTAGAATAGCAAAATTTAACAGAACAGCAAGCAACAAATGCTGGTGAGGTTGTGGAGAAACTGGAACCCTTATTCACTGTTGGTGGGAGTGTAAAACGGAGCAACCACTGTGGAAGGCGGTGTAGCGCTTTCTCAAAAAATTGCAACTAGAGATACCATTTGGCCCAGCAATTCCACTACTGGGAATATACCCCAAAGAGACCATAACTGACATCTAAGTAGATATATGCACACCCATTTTCATCACGGCTTTGTTCACAATAGCAAAGAGTTGGAAACAACCTAATTGCCCATCAACAAACAAATGGATAGAGAAGCTATGGTATATTCACACAATGGAATACTACACTGCATTGAAAAACAAGGAATTCATGCAATATTATTCAAAATGGGTGACCCTGGAGGACATTATGCTGAGTGAAATATCTCAGTCACAAAAGGACAAATACTGCATGGTGTCACTGGTGTAAAGCAGGACTGACCTCGAGGCTGGGAGGAGATTGAGAAGGATGGATTCAATAATGTATACTGCATTGAAACAGATGAGGGAGAAAACTGTTTAAAAGGGATATGTGATTAGGTAATTTTGTCATGACAGGAGTCCACAGCGAAGGTTGCATAGTGGAGTGGACCTGGGGGGAAGGACTGTAGAACAATGAAAGAGTTTTTCTTTTACTTTTCCAAGAGGGTAGTGTATCAGGGGAGAGTGTTGGGAGGGGAGAAAAGTGCAACAATGAATGAATGGAAATCCAAAGTTGCTGTAAATTTTTATTGAAATTAATAATAAATTAAAGAAGAAAACAATAGAAAAAAGAAAACAAAAAAAATTTTTTTAAATCCTCTTTTTTTAAAAAAAAATTAGCTGCAGAAGCATTTGCACCACCAGGGCTGCTTAACACCTCCTCTCTTCTTTCCACTGTTGTTGATTTGGAACCAACTCATAATTGACCCTCCCTTAGGTTTCTGAAGCTATAAATCACACAAGGGGAGACTGGAGCCACTGGTGGATTCAAACTATCAGGACACAGAGCCTTTGTATCAGCGGTACAACTTACTTCACATTACACCACCAGAGCTCCCTCATAGCTATCTCCCAACTAGTTCCACAATCATTTACTAATGTATATTTTAATTGCTTTTTTTAAAAAAAGGATACTTGATTGCCCACAGAACCCATGAATGATATGCAACAACCAGTCACGATGCACAGTACTCTTAATTATTTCCAGAAGTTCACCGTTCCACACGTACTTCATGTAAGGCTCGCTACAGATCCCAAATACACCTGAAAAATAAAAGGTGGTATCATAAACATAAACAACTAGTTGGATAGAAATAATTTTTAAATTTTCAAACTTCAAAACAAGATTCCTGACTTATAAAATTGCCATTTTCAGCAGGTACATTGATATCCTGATCCAGAACACAGTACTAGTTCGGGGTAAAGTAAAAAAATCAGCACATTATGATGAGGACATTAAGGAATATAAATATATCAGTAAAGCTGAAGGACCACACAGAGTGGTTGCTAAGAACACAGCTCAGGGGTCAGAGTGCCTGGGTCCAAATCAAGGCTTGCAACCATTGTATTCCTGTCTCCAATGAGAATTTACTTTTCCACCTCAGATAGATGGAATCAGAGTCTACATTTTAATAAGATCGCCTGGAGATTTTTTTATGAGTAAATCAGATCTATAAGAATCACCTAGGACCTCGTTAAAATTTCATAAAAAAAGAATTCTGGTGTACATTAAAGAATTTATTACCATATGTGTTTTACAGAATTAAAATAATAGCTTGCCTCTGGAAACTCTATGAACATGGAGAAACAATGAAAGTTATAAAAGTGCTCAGGTCTTTCATTCATAAGGTCGCTTTGAGTCATCTATGGCTCAACAGCACTTAACAACAACAACATAGAGAGAGCTCTGTTGGCCGAGCGGATAGAAAGTTATGTTACCAACGGTGGGTGATTTTAATCTGTAGCCTTCAGGCCTGGTTTTATTTTTGGTCAAACATTCTTCAAAGTGTTACAGCACTGGTCTGTCCACTTGCTGTACAGAGTTAACTCGTGGTTGCTGTGATGTTAAACACTGTGACACTGATCAGTGTCAAATGCAATAATGGTTACCCATGGTGGACAGTGTTTGGTGGAACTTCCCAATTAAAACAATCTTGGAAACAGAAGTGGCATCCACTTCCAAAATAGCTTGCCTCTGGAAACTCTATGAACTTGGAGAACAATGAAAGGCATACAAGTGTTCAGGTCTTTCATTCATAGGGTCACTATGAGTCTATGGCTTGACAGCACTTAACAACAATTATATTTGCAAGGCAAGGTCTTAAAAATTTGTAACAGTTTGAGATAGTGGGGCAACCAACACCAATTTTCTCCAACAAACACAATTTGCTTAAAGTATTTATATGCTTGGGTAAACACATTTTTGCTTGAAGTATTTATATGCTTAGGTAAACACATTTTTGTTTTATTCATAAACACTAAACCTCTGCATTCTCAGTATGTTGTGTAAGAGTGTGAATAACAGAAATACTGGTTGGAGCCCTGTCTTTGAACTTATCAATTCTGTACCTTGCAGCAGCACTTAACATCTCTGAAATTCCATTTTCTTAATTATTAAGTGATACTACTATTTACATTGTTCATATTAAACAAAATAATACAGGTGAAGTGCCCAGTGGGAAGCTCTAGAGGCCTAGTGGTAAGGAGTTGTGCTGCTAACCCAAAGACAAGCAGTTCAAATCTACCAGGTGCTCTGTGGGAGAATGACAGGTAATTTCCTCCTGTGTAACTTACAGCCTCTGAGAACCCACTGGAGGGTCAGCTATGAGTTGATTCCAACTCAATGGCACATAATGATAATGACAAAGTGCCCAGTACACTGTCTTACCTGTAATAAAAACTTTTTAGAAAGATATTGTTTTCCTTTTCCTACTCTGACAACTTCTATTACTCTCTGATTCCTATCAATGCCCCCCTATCATTCATATCTAACTGGAAGATTTGCTCTAAAGTTAACAAGAAAATCAAGTGGCTTAACAAGCTCAATTCAGATACCACAAAGAATATACAAAAACAGTTTTGAAGGAGATTTAACACAAAGTTTGTATGTTTTTTGCTTTAGTAAGGTTACACATGAATATTCTGATGCACAGTACTTTGTCCTACACCTGTCTCTCGTGTTATGGATTCCAGCTGAGGAATCTGATCTAGAGAAAACTCTGTGGTCTAAACAATGCATTGGAAGAGCCATACTGGGTTTGATCTTAATTCCAGGCAATAGTCAAACTAGCAAGAGTCAATGACAATATCAGGGATGGCATTCCACTTCAGTAACAACCTCAACTATCTCTCTGAGTGAACCAGAACTTTGGGCAGTGATGGCACAAGATAGGGCAGGGTTCAGACCTTATTGTTCACAGGGTCCCTATGAATTGTACTCAACTAGACAGTACTCAACAACAAGAGATCACAACTCCTCCTTGAGGGTCCTGCAAGGACAAGCCTCACACTACTTTAGATTGGCGTTGGCCATTGCACACACACATTTATTATTCTAATTTTAAAATACATAAAGGAAGGTACCCTGAAATGTTACTGACTTATTGTATTTTCATTTTCATTTTCAGTTCAATCCAGCCAAATTATCTTAACTTTAAATTTAAAATCATTCCCTCACAAAACATTCTCTTCGGCAATACCTCTGGCTTTTAGCCTTCTAGATAAACCCAATGATAAGGGTGCTGATTATATTCTGTAAATATAATTAGTCTAGGATTCTAGGACTCACACAGACATAGTGCTCCTGACAGAAGGGGACCATGGGTTAAGCTAGAACTATCAAGGAAGAACAGCCTTCTATTTGCTATACTGGTTCTTCTAGGTACTAACCATGTGATCTGAGACAAGATATTTATCTATAGACCTCAGTTTCCTGCTAAGTCTTTATTTCTGTATAACTGGCATTATACCTACTAAGTATTTTTTTGTGAAGTTTGTTGTTATTATATACTGTTGAGTCAGAATCAATTCATAGCTGACACTCTAGTGGGTTTTGAGAGGCTGAAAATTGTACAAGAGACTGCCCTTCTTCCACTGAGCAAGTTGTTGGATTCAAACCACCTACCTTTGGGCGGGCAGTGCAACTCTCTATCCCTTGGCCTACTAGAGCTCTTATTTGGTTTGGAGGTGTTTTTATTTCTTATACTTTATATATTTTAATATAATGTTAGGAATATTATATGAAAATGTCTAGCATATAAATGACAACCATAGGTAGTTTTCTTCCCAAAAAGTCCATAATGAACTGGTCTCTCTGAAGAAACAGAAGGTTTTGTGTATTCTCTAATATTAAAACATAACCACCAATTCTTCACTGGAATTTCTCTAAAAGTCTAAGCCTAAATGTAGTACATAAAAAAGTAGATGGATAAATGCTAGAAAATATCAGCAAGCAATTTTCTGGCTAGTCTATAAATAATATCACATAGTGATTAAGGATCTCTATAAAGATGAATTGGTCAAGTTCATGTATCAGAAACAGTCCACACAAAGATAAACAGTGATGAGAAATGAAGAAATAGAAGGGAGGAAAATTTAAATGGATTTAATCAGATGCCATTCCATGGATACCACATAGATAGCCTAATATGCTGAAAACTACCTACCACTTCCACCCTGTGTAACTAAGCCTTCATCTTCAAAGATGTCAAAGCTCTCTTGCCGAGCCTGGGTTGTTTCTGACTTTAACATCTCCAGAGGCATTCGCAAGACAGTGAGGTTATATTGAAGAGAGTGGGACAAATCATAGCTGTAACTGAAAATAGAAGTGAAACTTAGTAAGAATTCTGAAAGCAAAGCATATTTCAGTCTTGGCTCCCATATGCGATGAAAATCTGTAAACTAAATGGCTAGCACCTGTTATGTTTTCCTGGTCATAATGCTGCTCAAATAAGTACTGTAAAACACATCAAACAAGGATAAGTAAAAATGGAAAAATTCATTGCATGACTCAAACATCTGTACTGGGGTAATGGGGATAGGCATGTCAGAGACAGTAAGATTGGCAAGGGATAGAGCAGGGTTTTGGGCTGTTGTACATAGGGTCGCTATGAGTCGCAGGCGATTTGACAGCACATAACATCAACAACCACTAGCAATACATTCCTTGATTTGTACAATGTGCATTTCTTGTTTCACACAATAATCAATCTAAATTCATGGCCTGATACAAAGGAGACACATTCTCATATGTATCTGAATGGGGGTTTCTAGACCAAAACCAAACTCACAGCCATTGACTCAATTCTAATTCAAAGTGACCCTATAGGACACAGTGGGAATGCTATGTAGGACTCCCAAGGCTTTATATCCTTACAGAAGCAGGTGGCCTTATCTTTCTCCCTAGGAATGCTAGGTGGGTTTAAACTACAAAGTTATTGGTTAACCTTAACCACGGGACCAGCAGAGCTTCTGGGGATCTATACATTATCCACTGCAACAGTACATGGTTCTGTATTAGAGCTTACTCCTGAACAAAAATAATCTTATTAATTATAAATGGAAGTATTATAATTGACTGATAAAACAGAAATAAGTAAACAAGTTGTCAGAGAGAAACATATTTTTTAACTGTGTTTTGTTTTGTTTTGTTTCCAGAAATTATGTATTTTAATGGAAGTTTAGAGACTTTGGATTTCCATTCATTCATTGTTGCACACTTTCCTCCTTGCCCACCTCTCCCTTTCCAGTTCACTTTTCTCTTTGAAAAGTAAAAATAAATAAATACATACATACATAAGTACATAAATAAATACATGATTCTTTCGTTGTTATACAATCCCTCCCCCAAAGTCCACTCCACTATGAACTTTCATTCTGGATTCTTGTCATGACAATAATACCTAATCAATCATATATTCTTCCTAAACAATTTTCTCCTTCATCTGTTCAAGGCAGTATACATTATTTATTCCCTCTTAATTTCCCCCCAACTCCGATGTCAGTCCCACTTTACAACAGTGGCACTATGCAGTATTTTTCCTTTGGTGACTGAGATATTTCACTCAGCACAATGTCCTCTAGGGCCACCCATTTTGTATAATATTTCATGAGTTCTTTGTTTTTCAATGAAGCATAGTATTCCATTGTGCGAATATACCAAAGCTTCTCTATCCATTCATTTGTTAATGGGCACTTGGGTTGTTCCCAACACAGAAACATATTTTAGGACAGTAAAAACCATTTAAAACTCTAGAAAGATCTCTTGCAAAAGAAATTTAGTATTTTAGGTCAAAATAAATTCTTTATAATCTGATTTTATATAATCAATAATCTATATGTAGCTCTAGCCACAGTTGGCACAGAATTTTAGAAATTATCTAACATTCTTCAAATATATATGCATTTTTGTGTTTAAAGTATCTCATGGATATTTTAGAAACGCAAGTTACAAATCTGCCTGAATAATCATATATATTTTTTAATTACTCTTTCTTTTTTTAGGGTAAAAAGTAAATAGAGATTTATAAGAAGTTAAGTTCCAAAGATGGGATGGACCTTCCACCTTCTTAAGATATGTGGAGGCCTATTTTTTTCTTTATTTTTATAATGTGATTGAAATTGATTTTCTATTTCAGCTGTGGAGTTCAATTTTATTCCATTAGCTTGATAAATCCATTCATTTTAATAGCATCTAATTTCACAAGAACAAAAGCATATTAAAAAGTTGCTTTTTTCCTTTTAAGAATCTTCCTAAGATGAATACTGTTTTCCAGCGGTATTAGCCTTCTTTATTGGTTAAGAAACAATAAAACTGGCCCTCATTTACCCTGGAGAGGTGACCTCCCTAGCCAGGTGAGCTTTCTCATAAGCCACTACAGGACCAGAGATGACTTCAGGCAGGGCAGAGTTGCCGTCACATCTCCTGGAACAGTGAGCTTCCCCAAAAGCGGCAAGTCTTCCCTAAAGCCCAGGAACAAGAGAAGATTTCAAGTAGGGTGAGTTTCCCTCCCCTTCCCTACAGTGTTGAGTTCCCCAACTAGGGTGAGTCTTCCAGTGAGTCGAGGAACTAGAGAGGCCTTCAGACAGCGTGAATTGTCCTCCCCTCCACTGGAGTAGTGAGCTCCCAGACAAGGTTGCCAAACTAGGACCTGCAAGGACACCAGGCAAGAAACACTTTATGACAACAATGACACAGAAGAAGCAGACTACCTCAGACCCCATACAAAACCAAAGCAAAGTATCACCCCAAAAAAGTGATCAAAACACTGAATCAAGGGATTTTTATTTACTTTCTTGACACAGAATCCAAAAAAAAAAAAAAGACTGATCAAATATTTTCATTGCATGAAATAAAAAGTCAAAGAATTAGGGGAATTTACAAGCTAAACCCAAGAAGAACTTAAAAAGCAATAAAAAACAAAGCAGATAAAACCAATGAGGCACTAGGAAAACAAGAAATAGAAAACCAGAATACTAACACCAATCTCAGAAGCTGTCAGAATATTGGGGGGACAAATGAGCAGAATTGAAGAGATGGAGCACAGAAACAGTGAAACAGAAGATAGAGCTCTCAACACTGATCTGCTAGAGCAAAAATCAAAATTAAAAAGGAAGGGAAATGAAGGAAGCCTAAAAATAATATAGGACAATATCAAGATAAATAGTGTGCATATAATTGGAATTCTAGAACAGAAAGAAGCGTGAAAAGGCAATGGAAGAAAAAACTGTGGAAGAGTTACTAGAAGAAAACTTTCCAGGTATCATGAAGAATGAGAGAATATACATTCAAGACGCTGAGCAAACCCCAAGTAGAACAGACCCCAAAAGAAAAACACCAAGGAATACTGTAGTCAGATTTTCCAGAATCAGAGACAAGGAGAGAATTCTGAATGCAGCGATAGAAAAAATGAATAGTAATCAATAAAGGAGAGCTAACACGACTAAGTGCCGATTTCTTAGCAGAAAAGGTGCAAGCAAGAAGACAGTGGAACTACATATGTCAAATACTCAAAGAACACAACTGTCAACCAAGAACAACTTCCGTTAAATACGATGGAGAGATCAAGATAGTCTCTGAAAATCAGAAACAAGAGAGTTCATGAAAGCAAGTCCAATGTTGCAAGAAATATAAAAGGAAGTTCTTCCTACAGAGATGCTACAGAAAAGTTATTTGATCCAAGTAACCAACACACACACACACAAAAAAATACAACAAAATGATAGCATTAAAACCTTGCCCATCAATAATTATACTGAATGTGAATGGTTTAAATATATTATTTATTGAAGAGAGAAAAGGTAAAAGAGTGAATAAAAAAACAAAACAAATATGCTACATACAAGAGGTACATCTAAACGGGAAGATAAGACAGGCTGAAAATCAAAGAGTGGGGGGAAACGCCAAGCCAATGGGAACCAGGAAAAAAAGCAGGAGTAGCAATATTAATCTCCACTAAAATGGACTTCAGGGTAAAAAATCGTCATGAAGGACATTATATAATGTAATAGAACAAGAGGACATAACCATAATAACTATCTATGCACTGAATGAAAGAGCTACAAAACACACACAGCAAATGTTAACAGAACTGGAAAAAGAAAGAGAAAGCATCACAATAGTATTTGTTAGGTGCCGTCAAGTCAAGTACAACTCATTGCGATCCTATGATGATATGACATATGATATGATGGAAAAGAGAGGAAATGGCCAGAAAGAAACACAACAAAGATACTAAAGAATTAAACTATACAGTCAACCAATTCAATCTCATAGGTATATACAGAATTCTTGTTGTTGATTGCTGTCAAGTAAAGCAAGACTCATAATGCCTCCATAAACAAAAGGTCTGAAGACTTCTATAACTATCATAATTTATCAAAGTTCTTAAGTTTCCAGAGGCATGTTGTTTAAGAAATGGATGCCACTCCTGCTTCCAAACTGGATACCAGTCCCAAACTGGCCATATAATAATACACCCTAAAAAAATTCAGTATACATTCTTCTCCAGTGCACACAGGACAGTCTCCAGAATAGATCATACTTTAGGTCACAAAACAAGAATAAAAAAAATTTAAAAATACTGAAATAATATAAAGCATTTTCTCAGACTACAATGCTATATAATTATAAATCAACAACAAAGGATTAAGGGAGGAAAAAACTACGCACCTGGGAACTAAAAAAAACTACCCTGCTTAAAGATGAGAAGGTAATAGAAGAAATAAAAAATGAAATTAAAAACTTTTTGGAAACAAATGAGAATGAAAACACAACTTACCAAAGCACTTGGCATATAACAAAAGTAGTTCTTGGACGTCAATTCATAGAAATAAGCAAGCACATCAAAAGGGAAGAAATAATGAAAATCTATTATACTACCCAACATCTAAAACCAATAGAAAAAGAACAGCAAGAAAACTCAACAACCTCTGAAAGAAAGAAAACTAAAAATTAGGGCAGAAACAAATGAAATAGAAAACAGAAAAACAAAATTATCAACAAGAGTAGGAGTTGGTACTTCAAAAGGATTAATAAAATCAATAAACCACTGACAAAACTAACAAAAGGGGGGAAGATATAAATAATCCAAATAAGACATAAAGGGTGATATGTCACCACAGAACTAACTGAAATAAATTTATTAATGGAATTTTATGAAAAATTATACTCAAACAAATAGGAAAACTTAAGAGGAAATGGACAGGACAAGACAGGACAGGAAGACTCTGGATGAAAAGGATTGATACAGTAACTGGGATAATGAGAGTAGGTTTGTCAGAGTCAGTGAGACTGGCTTAAGATAGCACAGAGTT